AGAGATGGTCTTTATTTTATTGAGTTACTCTTATTGGATACAAATCAATATTCAGTAGTATTGAGTTGATAATATGATAATATCAATTGTATTGAGTTGGAATATTATAATTATTATTATTATTATTATTATTATTATTATTATCTACAGGGTGTTTGTTGACAAAGTCTTCGGTTGCAATGTGATTTTGTTTTCTTTTTTTGGGTTAAATCATACACTAAATACTAGTATCTTGTAGAGTGATTTTTTGTAAACAAATTGTCAACATTTATTAATTTTTTCTACGAAAAAAATTATTTTCTCTTTAGATTGTGACACTCTTCATATTTTGCGTCTCTCATTGAATACTAAAAATATTATTGTTAATTTATTATGACCATATAAGTACTATTATTATGGTAATTTCAATCGTTAAATATATTTAATATAGATAAAACATTAGTATGTACTACAAATTTTAACTTGTGATTGAAAATAATTATTAACTATGAAATATTTATCAAAATAATAGTTTTATGGCTATATTATTTTATCATGACAAATAATTATACTTTTTATGTCAACTATTGCCACAATTATTTAGTACTCAAAAAAAAATATTTTTTTGGCTATAATATTTTATTTTAAATCATTTCTTGTGGCTAAAAGGTTATTGTTACTTCAACAAATTTTAACCAGATCATGGCAAAATTGAATAATTATCTATGCAATTTTGATACAGCAAAAAATTCATGACTATATTATCTAATATTAACACAATTTTTGTAACTTCAAGAAAAGCTATTGTTTAGCTAGAGATTTGCTTCAACAATAATGTATTGTAGCTAAAAGTTATTATTACTACGATAAATTTTAGCTTGTGGCAAAAAATAATAATTAGTTACGAAATATTATGAAAGCAAAATAATTTATGGCTATTTCATTAAACTTTTGCCACAATCTTTTATTACTTGAAGCAAGATTATTTATTTTGCTACAATATTTGTTTTAAATTATATATTGTAGCTAAAAGATTACTATTGCTAGAGTTAATTTTATCGCGTGGCAAAAACTTATAATTAGCTATAAAATTTCACCGTAGCAGAAAAATTATAGCTATTTAGGTACTTATTGCTACGATTGTTAGCAATTATAACAAAAATTAGGATTTAGCTTTGTCAATTTGATTTTCGTGGCTAAGAAATTTGACAAAATTTTATATAGCCACAAAATTCAAATTTTTGTGGTAATTACTAAATAATAGCTAAAGAAATTTGACAAATTTTTATATAGCCACAAAATTCAAATTTTTGTGGCAATTACTAAATAATAGCTACGATTTTCAAATTCATAGCTTAAATTTTGTGGCTATAAATCCATTATCTTGTAGTAGTCCAGATTTGGATGAAATCAAAGTCTTTAAAGTCTAGAGAAATCTAGTAGCAATTGGGTGATCTAATTATGTTTTTGATTACATAAAGTGTTAGATAAGTCGTTAAGGAATCCGTACGACTTTAAGGAATTGAATTCTGGCAAGTTGAACTCCCGAAATTGATCTTAGCGTGAACGAGTATTTTCTAGGTGTCATTCGTGGAAATTGTGTTGTGAAATGGGGGTCTTGGAATTATTAAAATAGCTCAATGTTTCGTGCAAGCCGCTTGGGCGGTGATTTTTGTCACTCTGGCGGGCCGCTGTAGCAGGGTGAGGACCGTTGTGGAAGGCACGACGCGACTTAATGTCGTAAATAAACCCCAAAACGTCTTTACTCTGCACTTTTCAATTTTTAGAGCTTAGGAACGAACTCCATAGATTTTGATCAATAACAATAAGCTTACTTTCTATTGCAGAACTTGACAATATCATGAGAAAGAATCCATCAGGATTCACAGTGAGAAAGAGAATCAAAAGAAGAATCCAAGCAAGAAGATACACTCCAAGATATGGATTGATTGAGATATAAATTGATTGATTGACAATCAAGGATAATGCCGGATCCTGAATGCACGATTCAAGGAAGAAGCAAAAACAATCAATGAGAATATATTATCAGATCACATGACTCAAGGAAGAAGAAAAGCAATCAAAGAAGAGATCTTACTTGATAAGGAATGACATCACGCAATCAAGGAAGATTACCTCAGCGGGGTGAGGACCGTTGTGGCAGGCCCGACGCAACTTAATGTCGTAAATAAACCCCAAAACGTCTTTACTCTGCACTTTTCAATTTTTAGAGCTAAGGAACGAACCCCATGCGATTCTTGATAGTTTTCCACCATTTTTAAGGCTAAAGGTAATATTTTAACTTCTGGAATCCATTTTTCGATCCGTAGAATGTAATCTCATAGGTAATTATCGATGGGGAAGGGTTTTGATCTAGAAATTATGGTGGAAAAAGCTCTAATTTGGATACTTAGGATCATGGGTATGATCTAGGGTTGTTAGAATTGTTAGTACTCTAGGTAATTAGTGATTGTTTATTAATTCTCGTATTATATTGACTGTTTGTAGACCAAGAACAAGCGAAACGAATCTGAAAAGGGAAGGATCAAGTTTCTTAGGGTTTCAAGCTTGTTTCGAGGAAGATGATAGTTGTGATTCTATGATTGTGTGATGTAGGTTTGTCTTTGCTTCATTATGATGCATGTATGTATGAGAATGTTGCATTATTGATCACACTTGTTGTAAATGAGGATATATGACTATCAATGCCATGAATCATGACTTGATTCTATGATTATGTGAATGTACTTTGCGATTGTGAGTGTGGCTTATTAAATGGATCGGGTGTTGCGTTCCGACACACTAACTTGGATCGGTTGCCACATTCCAACATAATTATGGGATCGGTTGCCACGTTCTGGCATAATCATTGGATCTGGTATCACGTTCCGGTATGCTAACTATTTGGGTTTGGGTTCCATGAGAGGACCAATGGCTTGTCATAATTGTGTAACTTGAGAAATGTGAAGTTGTTCGTTGTTCGTAAATGTTGATAATATTGTATGTGTTCGATATATGCATGTGATTATATTGTTGTATTGATTTATGTATGTAGAACTTAGTGGAATAACCGCGTGATCCTACTAGTACACTGTGGTTATGTATTGATACTGCACTTACTCTTTCTTTGTTGAGTACAGGGCATCTTCAGGCGGCTATTGACAGACATCTCTTAGAAGATCAGTGATCACTTTCGAATTCAAGGGTGAGCCAGTTCTTCTAGGCTGCCATGAGTTCTCTTTCTGTCTATGTCCACATTTCGGGTTTAGACATTCTAGTTAGTTATGAGTTCATTAGTTTGGGGTTGTAACCCTTCTTGTTTAGACTTGTTGAACTTTAGATGTTTTGGTACATTGACTTTCAGGTTCTAGGTGTATTTTCTGCATTGTTAGTTGTTAGATCTTTTGGAAGTTTATGGGAACTTCAGTTTTGGCTATTATTCCTGTTTTCGTATCCTTAAATGCTTTAATTTTCAGTTTACTTGCTTGGTTTGGGTTGTAGTAGTGGTTCTCCCACTAGAGGGTTAGTGTGGGTGCCAATCACGATGGTCTGGGTCGTGACAAATTTATATTTTTTTTAGTGATTGTGTATTATTCACTTGTCTAAATGCTGAGAGTTTTTGCCAAGGCAAAAAGACATCACATTGTCATATTTTAATCAACATTATTCCATACGAGATATGCTGCCTTGCTTTGGGATTATGCCATGAAAAAGATAGATGATGATGCTATTAGTGAAAGTGAAGTCACTGGAAAGGTGACAAGCAAGTTTGGTGGTCCGAGCATTACATTAGGGTGAAAAAAAAAGTTATCAAAGGTTCAACCAAGAATTTAAAAGATTGTTGCTAAACATTCAAATTTTCAATATGATTTTGTTATACAGTTTGGTGAATATGTTATGTTTTTTGGTTAAATAGTTGGTTTAACTTTACAATTACCACAATATTTTTATTATAATGGCACTCGAGAACCATTGCTGGCCCCAAGCGAAACCTTGGCCTGGTTCACTACTCAGCGAAAGACTTACTCATAATAAAAACATTTAACTGAAAGCTCAATAGAAAACTTAGAATGTTTTATAAATAAACATTCAACTAGACAAAGTGGCAACTCAAGTCTCAACATAACTGTATGAAAAAGGAAAGACTCAAGAACTAACAATATCTAACTGTCTATGAAGTCTCTAACAACTGAGATGGACGTCGAGACAAGACCCACGACATCCTAGTGAACTAAGATGATAAAAAATAAAAGAGGGATCCTCCGGAAGCTAGGAGACTCACCAACAACTCTGAAGCTCAACTGGATCAATGATGCGCTCGATGCTGATCCTGGTTACCTGTATCTGCATCATAAAAACATGCAGGCCAACTGACATTAGTACATTGAATGTATGGGCATGCGAGGGGAATTCTAAAACAAGACATACGCTTGAAAGGAAACTGAAAGAATTTACTTGGTCTCGACTCAACTCAAATCATTTCAATATAAAGCAGTAATATAAAGAAATATAAACAAAGGCTTTTAAAACATGTGGATAACAACTTTGTGTATTGAAAAATACAATAGTAACTCAGTTTGTATGCAAGGATACAATTTAAACTTTGTTTGTATATGAAAATACAAAGCAAACTCTGTGTATATAAGAATACAAAATATCTCTGTGGGAGTTTCTCTAATTGACAACAATCACAATGAGCTATGTGATGATACAACGTTTTGCCTCACGCTGCCAAGGCCGTCCTATACCTTTCTACGGGTATATAACCTAACTATTAA